AGATTTAATGTGCCATGCCGAAAACAAACAAAAAAATAAACCTCAACTCGGATTCCTCTGTACTGAGGAAAGGCGGGGCATACCAGTCCTCATTTCTGTAAGATAAAAATGCCATTTTCTCCTCATTTCTATAAGATAAAAATGCCATTTTCTCCTCATTTCTATAAGATAAAAATGCCATTTTCTCCTCAATTCTGTAAGATAAAAAATGCCATTTTCTGTGCTTAAAACTTCAAAGGGAACAGGGGTATAAGAAACTGGCGGGCCAAAACCGGTTTGGCTCAGTGGATAGAGCGTCGGCCTGCGGACTGAAGGGTCCCGGGTTCGATTCCGGTCAAGGGCATGTACCTGGGTTGCGCACACTTCCCCAGTGGGGTATGTGCAGGCGGCAGCTGATCGATGTTTCTCTCTCATCGATGTTTCTAACTCTCTATCTCTATCTCTCTCCTTTCCTCTCTGTAAAAAATCAATAAAATATATTTTAAAAAAAAAAAGAAACTGGCGGGAGGTCCCCAACCCTGAGGCAGCCAAGCTGAGCTCAGAACCTGAGGTTAGCGGTAGCAGGTTCCTCATCTGTCTCTTCTCCATTCCCTCTCCACGGGCCTTGGTAGGAATGAGAATCCAGCACTGGGCTGGATTCTCAGGGGAGCGCTGCTGTGCTGGGATCCGCCTCCAACAGCACTTCCTGAGCAGGTCATGGGGCTAATTTCTCCAGAGACACAGTGGATTGTTTCCAGGTCTTAAGTCTGCTCTGGTCGTATGGACATTAGTCTCCTCCCCAGCTTCCTCAGGGAGTAACCCACGGGCCGGAGTTGGGCTTGAACTAAGACCTATTTTATTCCCTTAAGGAGATGGAAAATAATAGCATCCTTCTTCAGAAAGGGGAAAATTATTTAAAAATAGCTTTTTCTACTCATAAGGACTCAGTATTCTGAGTATATTGTCAGTCTCCTCTCATTTTTGTGCCCTGGAGTCGCGAATCCATAATGTGTTCTTTACCTTGTTCCTCCAGAACAAGTAAGCCCGTGTCTTTTGCTTTGCAGAGAAAGGAGAACTCTTTGTACCTTCTCCCAGTTACTTTGATGTTGTCTACCTGAACCCGGACAGACAGGCTGTGGTTCCTTGTCGAGTGACCGTCCTGTCAGCCAAAGTCACACTCCACAGGGAGTTCCCAGCCAAGGAAATCCCGGCCAATGGAACAGACATTGTTTATGACATGAAGAGAGGCTTTGTATACCTGCAACCTCATTCTGACCACCAAGGGGTGGTCTACTGCAAGGCGGAGGCCGGGGGCAAGTCGCAGATCTCTGTCAAGTATCAACTCCTCTATGCAGAAGGTAAGCGTGTTTCCTACCAGTGCCTAGATTTCAGTGGCTTCCAGCTAGTCAGTAGCAGGCACTGCTGTTCCTGAGTATCGATGGAAATTAGGAGGCACAGAATGCTGTTCTTAATGGCTCCTTTATTGCACCACTATTTCTAGAATGTTCTACTAGTGCTTCCTTGTCTGTGACCATGACCTTCAGATGAACCCCTGGCGGGTTAGCCTCCTCCCCTAATCACAAGGGAAATGGGTGGGCCTGGGGAGTTCTGGGTGCTGACCCCATTCGGACCACCAAGGTAGAGAAAGAGGAGGCTTCGAAGAATCCGAAAGTGGTTGGGGTGGAGGTGGCCTGGTGTTCACTGGGTGAGGTGGAAATGTGACCCATCTGTCTAAAGAAAAGAATGTGCCTGTAGGTTTGTCTTCAGTGTTGCACTCATGAATTCCATCTCACTTTCCCTGTCTCCTGCTTAATGCCAGTTCCCAGCGGCCCTCCATCCACAACCATCCTGGCATCTTCAAACAGAGTGAACAGTGGGGACGACATCAGTGTCCTCTGCACTGTCCTCGGGGAGCCTGACGTCGAGGTGGAGTTCAGGTGGATCTACCCAGGCCAGAAGGTAAGACCTTACCCTCACTCAGCCAGTTGTTTAAGTTTAGGTTTGTCTCTCTCTCCCCCACCTGCCACTGATAAAGACCTTAACGTACGAGGTGCAAGAAATGTGTGGGACTAAGGTAGGTGCCAGGGCTTGCTGGTCGTCCTCTAAGACAGCGGTCGCCAACCTTTCGGACCTCACGGACCACCAGTTGGCGACCGCTGTTCCAAGATGTTTCAGTATATTTATTAATGGCTTTTTTTCTTAATGGAAAAGGTGACTGGGTTCCACCAGGCAGTTCACTCAGTGAACCCTCTTCATATGTGATTTATCTTCATAATTCTTTTTAAATATATTTTTTATCAATTTTTTTCAGAGAGGAAGGGAGAGGGAGAGAGAGATATAGAAATCAATGATGAGAGAGAACCATTGATTGGCTGCCTCCTGCACAACCCACATGGGGGTCGAGCCCATAACCTGGGCATGTGCCTGGCCAGGAATTAAACCGTGATCTCCTGGTTCATAGGTTGATGCCCAACCACTGAGCCACGCCGGCTGGGCTGATCGTCATAATCCTTAAATAAGAAGGAACAGGGGCTTGAAAGAGACAGGGGGGGCCTCCCTCTTTCTCCACCCCAACCTCAACCTTCAGTCTGAATTCTGGGTTGATTAGAGACCAATCTAACTTCCTTCTGGTGCCTTTCTGTCTTGCACACAAGCTGTGCCCATGGCGAGGAGCTCTGAGCAGACAGGCCCCGTCCAAAAGGTGCCATGAGGTCAGAGATCTTTTTAAAATAGATTTCCCATAAAAGCAACTCCAGCTTATTATTTAGCCTCCATGCGTGCTCTGCTAATAGAAACAGCTCTGCTACCAACATGGAACTATCCCTTTGTTGCCAGAAGAGATTTGGCCTCTTGAGATGTACTCAGTAGCCAATACCGTCCTGGCTCTATGGGCTGTGATTGGTGGAAAATAACTCTCCCCGGAGAATGGTATTTTCCGGGCTCTGGTACCTTACTTGCTTTCACACAGCTGTCACAATTAGAAAACATGAATGGTTTTCAATAGAGATTTCTTTTGCATTGCTAATTATTATTTTACGAGCAGAAGGGGGATTAACGGAGTTACACTATATTACAGTTGTTAAACTAATCCAGAAAATGCTACGTTCTTATCACCGGATTTGGATGAAGCCTCTCAAAGGTGACCACCTGACTTTCTGGAATAGGGAGTTACGTCATTTAGGGCGTCACAGTATCCATCCCTGGTAGAACTTTTCTCCCACATTTGTTTTATCATCCTTCTCTTTCTTCCAAATCTGAACAATTGGGAGCTTTTATTCACTTGCATGGGGAGTGCTCTGGGCTCTTTGTGACCAGAAATTATGTAAATAAGAACCAGTGAGAGGGTGAACGTGGGCAATGTAGAGAAGTGTGGAAAATTTTATCTACGTCTTTTTGAGTAATACCAGGTGTACCTCCTTGGAGTTCCAAAAGAATCAATCTTATATTCAGTAGAAATTTACTAAAGCGCCCAGCCGGCATGGTTGAGTGTCCATCTGTGAACCAGGAAGTCATGGTTCGAGTCCCGGTCAGGGCACATGCCCTGGTTGTGGGTTTGATCCCCAGCGTGGGGTGTGCAGGAGGCAGCTGATCAGTGTTCATGTTTCTACATCTCTCTCCCTTTTCCCCCTCCTTTCTGAAATAAATGCAATCTATTTTTTAAAAATTTACTAAAGAAAAGGGCAGAGGGAGTCCAACAGCGTAATGAAATCCCAGCCTGAGCTTTGGAAAACATGCCGCTGGAAATGATGACACAGGGCGGGAGAGCCCATGGCCTCGCAGACTGGTGTTTTCTGAGCATGGCTCCGTGTTGAGTGGCTGGGGCCTGTTTATAGCCATGTGTCCCTCTTGCTTCATCCCTGCGGTGTCGTTACACAGGATGAAAGGCCCGTGACGATCCATGACACCTGGAGGCTGGTCCGCAGAGGCCTTGGCCACACCACCAGGCTCTCCCAGAGC